CGCTGCCAAGCCCTGGGTGTGCTGAGGCTCACGAGGCTGTGCAGCCTTGGAGATCTGCTCTGGCACTGGCTGGGGCTGCCCACTGGTCAGGGCTCGGGATGAACCTGAATTCCAGCTCCAAAAGCTCTGGTTTTCATGGCATGGATTGACCATCCCACTTAGCAGGGGATAGGGATTCCCACTGGCTACACCTGGCTGGGAAAAGCACTGAAGAAAACCTTTAAGCCCACAAAACCCTTCAGAACCACAAGATCCTGGACACTTGTGGCCGGTCAGGTACTGAGGGCTGTTTTCATGAACAGCCACAGGTCAGCCCAGCTTTGTCCCTCACTGAAGCTGCTCCTGCAGCCCTGGACACTGAGCTGTGACCCTCAGGTACAGTGGTGTCAGTGCCCAGCTGTGGCCACAGCAGCACGGGCAGGAGGGACCTGTGGCTCTCCCAGCTGCTGGGGCTGCTCTGCTTTGGGGTGCCAGAGCTGCAGCCCTGGGCTCCATCCCTGACCACCTCCATCATTCCCTCAGTCATTGCCATGGAATATCCTGAGCTGGAGGGACCTCACTAAGATCATTGGGTGGTGCTGCACTCAATTTAACTCCTTTAGAATAAAGCTGCAAGGACCACGTGTCTCTAACAGGACATGGACTGTGGGATAAAAACGTTTTGAATCTTCAAAGAAGGGAAAACTCCTGATGGCCGAGAAAATGAAGTTCCCATTTGTCCCAGCAAGGTGAGGCACTGACAGCTGAAGGGGACCAGGTAAATGTCACCTCTGAGTGGACCTGTGTGAAAAGGTTCTCACAGGTTTTCCCTCAGGAGGAAGCTGCTGTGGCATGAGTGAGAATATGTTTTGAAGTTTCTCCCTGCCTCTTCCTAAGGGCCCAAGGCCACTGGGATCCTCAGCGAGCTGCCAGCATCTCCTGCTTCCCCCAAAAAAACTTTCTGAAGGGTAGAGAGAAAATTTAATAACTTATAATAGACAAAGCCATTCTCACAGTTGCCAAATCATCTGCTCAGAGACATGGGAATGCTGGATGGGGAGAGGCCTGGTGACAGTCACAGCTATGGGCAGTGACTCATTAGTACCAGATGATAAGAGGAGCGAGGCTGAAAATTTTTACTCTCTGTTTACCCAATCACCCCAAACCTCACTCCTTTCTCCAGGCTGGTGACACACTTCAAGACTTCTTGGGGAATGCTGCCCATGGAAGAGGAGAGCTTTTGGTGTTTCTTCGCAGTTCATGGGTGGAAATGTCTCTCTGACTGAGTTCTTCAGCCCCTGCATGTGTATTACGTCCTGGGAGTGATTTCTAGTTTTTTCCTAGGACACAATAACTCTGTTGGCCTGCACTGACACAGCTCTGGATGGGCTGGAATTCCAGCTAAATTCTCCCAGAACAGTTACCACAAATGTCTGGGCCCACCCATCAATCCCCACACACGGCATGTCCTTCATACCCAACCCCAATGACTCAGACGTGTCCTGCCATCCATGGCATTATCCATGCCATCAGGGTATTTGGGATTAAAAAAACAACTGGAGGGCTTTTTGGTGTCACCACCACCTCTTTTGCTTGGCCTTGGCACATCCCACAGGGCTGGGAACGGCCCCAGCCCTGCTGCCCATGCCACTGCTGCTGGGTCAGGAGCAGCAGCCCTGTGTCCATGGCCCCACCACTGCTCCCCATCTCCTCCTTCTCCTCCAGCAGCAGTAACCAGACAGCCAAAGTGTTGGACACGTCTCTGAGGGAGCTTTGTTGGCCTGAGCTCCTCCTGTCAGCACTCACAGGCAGCATTTCGCTGACCTTTTCCCATCTGTGCCCCATTTGTTCCCTCACACGGCTGTAATAGGATGGGAGCATGTGAAGAAGGGTTGGACCTGTGTCAAAATACCTCCCCTTCTCGCTGGAGGTTACATCCACAGTCTGAGCCACCCCTGGACCTCACTCAGAGCTGTGTGGCCAGGGACAGGGCAATGTCAGGGAGTTTCCAACAACCCAGCTGGGCTGAAAACCCCTCTTGGCTTCTCCATCCTGCTGTCACCAGCAGGTCTGGACCCCAAGCTCTGGGTGTGCAGCACAGGGACCTTCCCTTTGCTGTGCACCCTGTGCCCAGAGCTGGGGCAGGACCCCCCTGCAGAGCTCCAGGGCCTGCACTTGGGCTCTCCTCTCTCTGGACAAGGTGAAAGACCCCATCCTTCCCTGGCCCCACAATAAAACACAACCACAAACCCTCAGCAGCTCCATCCTTTGCCTTTATCCCCTGCAGTGTCACTGCTGCTGGGCTCCTGGCATTGTCTGGCTGCACCATGGAGCAGCAGGATTATTCCAGTCAACTCCAGACCCATTTAGAGGGTGATCAGAGCCTGTTCTCCTCACACTTCTTTTCCTTGGGCACACCCAGACACTTCCTCCCCACCACAGGAATAAATATTTTTCTCATTTCTGTCCCACAGCAGAAAGGATCTGTTCTGATGTTGCTGCCAAAACATTCCCTCTCCAGCAGGAAAACACCCAGGAAGGCTGTGCAAGCAGGACAGGGCACTGCCTGTCAGCATCCTTGGGGCCCTGCCACATGAACAGTCCCCCCCAAAGGTCTCAAATTTACCAGAGATGGGTTTAGCTGGGGGTAAGGAAACCCAGCTGTGCCTCAGTCCAGCCTGGCCTGTGCAGGACTCCAGCACAGGGGACCAGGCTGATGCTGAGCCCCATCTTTGCTTCCCTTGCCCTGTTTTGGGGTGTGCTGAACCCTGCAAGTGGGGCTCATCCCCCAAAGCCTGCTCTGTGTCTGCCTAAAGATCAGAGGATCAGGAAGACAATCGGAAAATGATGTTTTTTAAGAGCACAGATCACACCATGCCAGAGCCCCCTACATAAACCTCATCCTCACACAGCAGATATTGAAAGCCTTCAGCAGGACCAAAGGAGACCTTTAATTTGTGTGCTCTGGGACCATTGTCTGTGCCTGGTCAGGTATTTCTGCCCTCCTGCTCCTTCAGCCTTCAAGAAACCTCCAAAACCCCACAGCATTTGCAACCTCAGCCCAACATGGGGCACCTCCTCATGTCCCTCCAAAGCAGCAGAGACTCCCCGGCACTTTGGTCTTGCCAGAATCTGCAAAAATATGCAAAACCTGGATCTGTGGATGAAATTCTGTGGAGAGTGTGTTTGACTCCCTCCTTTCCCAGGGATGCTGCTTGCCATGCCCCTGGTGTCTGTGTCCTATATCCTCTGTATTGTTCCTCTAGGGTGAGCTCAGAGGGGTTTGGGAGAAGGGATTGGGGCAGACACCTGTCTGCAGCGTTTGCTCCTGGAAATAGGCACTGAAGACATTTTGCTCACGGGGACATTTTTGCTTCGCAGGGGAAGTCAAGACCTTTTTGGTCAAGAAGGTTTCAATTCCTCGCTCTGAGAGTAGAAACCCTCCTTGATTTGGGCATTAAATCCTGATTTATATCAAAGCCTGGGGCAGGTCAGGGGCGGGTGGGATGCTGAATGCTGATGTCCCAGCGAGGGGTCCCTGCTCCTGCCTTCAGATCCAGCCCTGGCATCCTGACCTGTCCCACCGCCCGCCCTGTGCCCGCACAGTGCTGCCCAGATGGGGGAAAAAGGGATGGAAGGAATCAAAGTGCTGCTGTCTGTATTTCGGGAGCCTCCCCTGCCCCAGGCTAAGGGCCTGAAGTTCGGCAGCCACGCTCAGGGCGAGGAAATAATTTAATTCTCCAGGAAAACCTGCTGTGATTTAGCCATTTCATGAACCTGCGGAGCTTTGAAACGCTTCCTGAGCGGGGACTTCTCATTGTATTCTCAGTCTTTCTCCTCTGGAATGGCACATTCTCATTCCCAAAGTCCACGGTAATAAATGGATTATTACAAAAAAAAAATTCGCCTTTTCCCTTCAGAATTCTAAATATTCCCAGACATGGCAGTCCATTCCCAAGTTCACTCCCACCTACTTCTTGCCATCTCCATGTTGGCACTGAAAGGATCTAATTCAGTAATAAAAAAGACAGACTTTTCTGGAAAGGCGAAAATAACCCAAGAATCTCAGTAGCACCAAATTCCACCATCTCCCTCTTTTCCCTACGGATCATCAGGCTCACAGCCCCTACCTGGCACATACAGAAACTTAACAAGAGATATTCCAGCAAGAAATCCTATAGAAAGACAGAAATAAACTGAAATATTCTGTTATGCAACTCGCTGTCTGCTGGATTTAAATGACCTGGAATATTTAATTCTATATTTCTTCTTCTAAAGGGTTTCCAATTGCATTTTTTTACTGTATTCATTTATATAGTGTTAGATTTATTTTTAAAATAAGTAACTCAGGTTACTTATCAGCCTCGTTATAAGATACAACCAATCCTTTTAAAATTTCTTTTTCTCTTTGGTGCAAGGAAATTAGTGACATTTCCATAATTAAAATGAACAAAATCCACCTTTGAGCAATTTTAGTAATGAATGTTTTCTCAGGTGCCATTTGCGTTATTTGCCGGACTAAATTCACATGACAGAATACAACAAAAGAAGGGAAAGAAGTCCAAAAAAACACAGCAACCAAACAGAAAATAGAATTAATTTTTTTTTTAAAGGATCAATTGCAGTTTCATGGAAAGGAAGAAAATCCCTGTGTCAGAGTCATATGAGAGACAAAATTCCCATTGCACAAGGAAATAAAACGGCATCCTTTCACATCTGAACCAAGAGCCCATTGCTACAGTGCCGAAAATGGAGAAATTAAGAGTGGTGGGGAAGCCTCCATTTGCGCAAAGGGAAACCCAGGCATGGCCCTTTCAAAATAACCCCCAAACTTTTCACTGATTTCATTAATTACAGGTCAAATCTGAAGAAATTACGCTTAGGCTCCACCATGCAGCCATGGGCAGCTCGGCAGGGCGAGGGGTGAAAAGGAAGGAACACACAGCTCCCATGGCTAATAATTAATGAATTCATTAATCAATCATAGGGAGAGGAAGGGCGAGGGGAGGAAGGAATCTTACCACCAAATTGGGTAACCGGCTAAGACCTTTGTGCCATTGAAGAGAAAAGACAGAATTAGTCCAAGCAGGTGGTAATCCATTAGTCCAGGCTGGTGCAAGGGGAAAATCGCCGCGAAGTTTTCAGAAAAACATGAAGTGCCAAAATGAAGAATCCCCCTCCTCCCAGGAAAAAAAAAAAAAAAAAAGGAAAAAAAAAAAAAAAAGGGGGGTAAAAAGAGTGAAGCCAAGTCCCTCGTGGCTCGGATGACTTTCTGGCTTGTCAGAAACACACCTCTCCAAGCCTTTCCCCCGTAGATCATCCAAAAGCGTCTATTAAAAAGTGCAGGGCTCGGGGATGTCAGCAGGCGGCCAATCAGACCGCATGGCCCAAGGTGAGGGATGAGGCTCAGCCCAGGGCTGTCAATCACCCTCTCCTCCCCCTCCACCCCACAACTTTGTTCCGAGCCCTCGCTGCCACGGACAAACCCTCTGTGCACCACACTCCACTGGGGCACCGCGATTTGGGGGGAGGATTTTTTGTTTTAATTTTTTAATATTTTTTTTTCTCCCCCAATTTCACTTGGAGCCCAGGATGTGCTGCCCCTGAATGCCAGGACTCGGCAAGGTAAGGATGAAGGGTGGCTGTGGGGAGGGGTGGATGTGATCGAGCTTAATCTCACAGTGGGAGTGAGACAGAACTTGTTCCTCAGATGGACAGGGATGGGGGCACCAAGGGGCAGAAAACACTCTGGATGTGGTGGTGTGGGAAAAACTGGTGGTAAAGTTGAAATGAGACCTGCAGTGCCCAGGTTTTCAGTGTGTGGGGGTGATGGATGGAGCGGGGAGCAGTGGCAGCCTGGGTTTCTATTGAGAAAAAAATGCCATGTCATGGTGAGAGGGGAGCAGGCAGATGGGGACGTGTCCCACCAATGGATTGCTTGTGAAGTGCATCTCTGGATGCAGGAAGATGAAAACATTATCAAAACCCTACACATGTAACAAAAACCCACCCTAATCCGTTCCATGATTTGCAAATAGACCCAACAAAGATTTTCCTTAAAAATACGTGTTATTGGTCAGAGAGCTTGTTGTAACAGGAGCTATTGTGCAGTCAGAGGGGATGACTCGACAGAACGGGACAAAGAAATGGGAGAAGCCAAACAAGTTGCTTTTTTCTCCTAAAGGATCTCAGCAACCACAGCTCTGTTGCTACCGTGAGGTGGCCCGAGGTGGAACCACCTCAAGATCAGGTGCTTCAGGAGCAGCCAACAAATCAGTTTATTTCAGAGCCATGGCAGTAATGGAGATTTAAGGTCCTGTCTTGGGCAGCTCAATGCATCTCATGGTTTTGAAAGCTGTAGACCTTCTCCTGATCTTAAGGGTCTGGGCAGAAACAAATTCCTCATTGTTGTTTGATTGTACACTGGCACAGGGAAGCCGTGGCTGCCCCTGGATCCCTGGAAGTGTCCAAGGCCAGGTTGGATGGGGCTTGGAGCTGCCTGGGATAGTGGAAGGTGTCCCTGCCATGGCGGGACATGGAATGAGATGGGCTTAAAGGTTCCTTCCAACCCAAACCATTCCATGATCCCTTGATGCACCTGCCCCTTGCTTCTGCTGTTCTTGACTGCCAGTTCTCCCTGATTCTGCTGTGTTTGGATGCTGAGTCGGGGCAGTGCTGCTCTCAGAAGGGCTGGTTGCTGTCCTGGTCATCGCACAACCAAGGGAGGGCACTCAGCAGCTGCTCACACCTCCCCTCTCCATCACTCCCTGCACCTGCTGTGAGGACTTGTGAGGCCAAATTTCTCCAGGTTTACTCTGATGAGTTCTCCAGCTGACTATGACCCACCATAGATATTAAATATTCTCGTTCTCTTGTGGGATTTTGAATCCCATAGGGGATGTTGGGTGTTGTCTGTCCTGACAAATCTTCCTGGAACCCTGATGGGTTTTATTGATCTCAGTTGCCTGGGTCTAAGAAAGCAGCAATTGTCAAATGACATTTTGGGACACATGGATTTAATCTGCTCCAGTAAATTAAATACCACTTGGAAATGTTCCCAAGATCTTGAAATTTATAGCCCATGTTTTTAACCATGAAGGTGAACCCTGGTGTGGAGCTGGCCTGGCCAATTTACCCATCCCTGAAGAGATTTTAGTCACAGTTTGGGGTTAGTGTGGGACAGGAACTATTCCACATAGACCCTTAAGATATGACCCACCTATTCTGGAGCTTAAGGGAGTTTTTTGGGATGGATGAGGTGCCCCTGACTGTCTCATTCCAGGGCCAGGGGATGGTCCCAGGCACTTTTCCCTTACAGTCCTGGGCTGTGTGAAATGCACTGAAGTGCCTTGAGCAGCTCTGGTGAAAGCAGAACTGGAAGTGCTGCCCAGGTTTGTATTGGTGGATGTTCTGAAGCTGTGCAAACTTAATAAGGATTAAAAGTACCAAGGGACAGAATTTCTGTCACTAAAGTGTCACTGCTAGAGAGGCAGCAAAAAGAGAGACTGAAGTGAGATATCTCATGTGATAGTGCAGGTGGCTGAGCCCATGGGAGATGACACTCAGACACTGTAAAAATCCAGCTGGGGGAAGCTTTTGAAATCTGCATTGAGTTGTTGTTGGTTGGAGACCATCATCAAGGTCTTGGTGGACCTGGCAGTGCTGGGTTAATGGTTGAGCTTGATGATCTTAAAGGTTTTTTCCAACCTTAATGATTCTATGGTGGCTGAGACGTTCCTGTCCATCAGACATTGCGGAATACAAAATGTTCTTTATCCATTTCTGGGTGCTGGGATTTATGTAGCCAACACTGAACTACAAAGTGCTTGCTCTGCAGGAACCAGGAGGGAAAGTGACCCCAGACCCAAATTCAGAGGCTTTACTTGCTGTTGTGGTCGGGCAGAGATCTCAGTGTGCCTTGGGAAGGGCTGTGTTACAGCAAGAGCAGAGATACAAAGCTCCCACACACCAAACTGACGTGGCCACGGGCAGGTTCTCAAAGATGCACAGTAAAGGGCTGATCCCAAGCACACTGAATTCATGGGAATGCTCTCCATGGCTCCAGCAGGTGTCTGAGGAAGTTTCTGGAGGTGCTCATCCCCCCACTCTTTATCTTCTCCATTCCACTGCTCTCTGAACATGTTTGTCCTGGCATTATAAGGAATTTGTGCTGTCCCACATTTTGTGAGGAGACTGTGTTTGGAGTGTGTCTGTAATTGCTTTGGATTGGAGATCCTGGGAGCAGAAGGTCCTGCCTGTCCCTAACCTAACTACAAGAGACTCTTGGCTCCAAGTTTCTCCCAGTGAAATGAGCAGAAAAACGAGAAGAAAAACAATGGCAGTTCTAAGTTTTGTCTTTGGTTATATCAGCCTTGATCCCCAAAGCCTTGAGACGGCAGGCACGGTTCCCCAGGGAGGAGGACCTGTCTCCCAGGGATGAAGACTCCATTGTCTGTGAAGGGAACAGACTCACTTTGAGTCTTCTCTGATGTAAAATGAAAATCTGATGCGTACATGCTAAAATTATCCTGGGCATATTTCATGCTAGCCTGAACAAATATTTATAAGTTCTACAGCAAACATTAATTTTAAATGTAATTTCTAAGAGCAAATGACAGTTACCCAAAAGAGTACAATTTCAAAATTTCACTCATAGATACCTCCTTGTGCTGCTGAGTGACAGTTTTATTAACTGAGGGTCTTTTCAATCACATCACTCTGTCTAGTTTGGCAATATTGACTCTCATAGCCCAGTTTCAATATGCCCAGAAATGAAAGGAATTGAGGAAGTCAGAGGTTTGGCTGCTCAAGAAAAGTCCTGCTGCCTTTACAATGTCAGTACAGAGGTCCTTGTGTGTTGTGGGACATTGTGGCACTGCAAACTCAGCTGCTGGAGGTGCTGAGGCATCCAAAGGGATCCTTTGGTTTATTCCAACACTGCTCCAGCAAAGGAGCGTTGTGATCACATTGGAAACGTGCCTCTCCTTCCCCTCAGGCTCTAACTGTGCAACTTTGCCTTTTAGCTTTTCTTCCTTTCTCCATCTGAATGTACCAGCAGGAAGAAACCAAGTGCCTGGGGAAGGGGATGGGACCGTGGAGTCTCCTGGATTTGTGCTCAGCATGGATCTCAAGGTGTGGAACCCTGTGTGATGCTCCGGGAGCTCAGAGCCCTCCTGGTGGAGTCACCTCAGGGTCAGGGTGATGTGAAGAGGACAACCCACACCTCCCAGCCAAGGGCAGAGATGGATGATTGGGATGAGCTCTCAGAGGGGGTTTGGACCCCTGGCTCAGAGTTTTGGGGATGGCAGGGGCCGTACAGGGCCTGTGGTGCAGCACTAAGCAATGACAGGGTCAGAGGGCTTGACCTGCAGGTCCACCCCAGGGCACAGGTGAAGGGTGGGATAAGTGGGTGCTAAGGCTGAATTTCACTTCTGAGCATGGCCAGGAGCAGGAATTGGAGGTGGATCTCTTGGACAATGGTCTTTTAAGGGTGAGCAAGTCCTAAAACAAGCTGGGTTTGTTGGTTTGAATACCTAAATTTTGTTGTTAGAGTCTAACATGGAGGTAAAATAGGACATTAGGACTCTGATGGCTCATCAATCCTAAAGGAAATAATTATAGGAAATCTGTAAAGAGCTGAGGAAATCCTTCCTCAAAGCCTGATGAACTGTCTGACTCCTTCCATCTTAAACTGCTGAAATCCTGAGTATTTCTGAGGGCTCTGCTTGCTGCTAATCTGTGGCAGGTAACATTAACAATCCCTCTAAACTTCTCTGTTCCTCATTTTTCTTGGCCTAACCTCTCCCCTGGATCCTTGTGTTCCCTCTGGCTCTTCTCCTGAGCTGTTCCTGGCTCCTCACCTCTGGTGGGAATGCTGTGAGTTGGTGTTACCTGGGCTCACCCAGGTGGTGTTACCTGGACAGAGCCATCCTGCGCTAACACCTCTGATCTTAGCAAACCCCTTTGCCACTGCTTTTACTGTTTCAGCAATAACTTTATGGCTTTTTATTCCCCTGCAAATAGCCTTTACCTAACTCCATTTATTTACAAGCTATTCTAAGCTGATGATGTAGAATTCCTCCACTTGGGATGTTTTTCGTCT